CAATCCAGAGCTAATTTTGTCTTGCTCTATGTGCAGGGCCTAACAAACTGTCAAGATCTGTACACACACATGGACTTGTCTGTGAACTGTCCAGTAATCTAGGTGGAGTCTCTAATATCATTCTCACTGGGTCTTTCCTCTTGGGCTGGTAATATTCTAAGAAGATATTCCCAGTCTTCTGCAAAGAAGAGTATGGTTTGGATGCTAGCAGTCTGCGAACCAACTGAGAAGAGATGGCTGAGGAAGTCACTCACCACTCAGTAAGCCGAGTCACCCAGTCACCTTGTTTTGGATCATGTATTCTTGATGTAACAAAGCCTGGGATCCCCCAGTCCATGTAGACTTGTTTTCCTTTTTCAGAGAACAAACTTCTAGTCTACTGCTAAGATAGGAGTCGGACAGTCACCCACAGAGTAGGGGAAGGGATTTATATAAACAAGTGCTTTTCAAACCGCCTTTCCACTTTAGTCTCTGCACCCACTCTCATAACTAGTACAGCCAATTCTTGAGATTTCTGAAGATTCGGGGGGTATAAATCAGTCTAGGTTTCCTTTCTCCACTGCCAACTAATGACTTGCCTTTTTGGATCTGCTAAGTCCATTATAACTTTTTCATCCGCATTTCAGCTTTTAAATGATTGCTGCTGGGGTGAGCACTGGCCTACCAGTGAAGATGTCCACATCCCGTATCAGAGTGCCTGTTTGAAACCTGGCTCTGCTCCTGGGTCCAGCCTCTGCTACTCAGCACCCTGGGAGGCAGCAGGTGATGCTTCAAGTAACTGGGTCCCTGCTATCCACATGGGAGATCCAGACTGAATTCTGGCTCCTGGCTTCAGACTGGCCTAGTCCCGGCCATTACGGGCATTTGGGGAGTGAACCAGTGGAATGGGAGTGTTCTCTCTCTCTCAAACAAATACTTTTCTTTTTAAAAATAGTTGTTGGGGTTGGCGCTGTGGCGTAGCAGGTAAAGCTACTACCTGCAGTGTCGGCATCTCATATGGGTGCTGGTTCGAATCCCGGCTGCTCCACTTCCAATCCAGCTCTCTGAAAGCAGTAGAAGATGGCTCAGTTCCTTGGGCCCCTGCACCCACATGGGAGACCTGGAAGAAGCTCCTGGCTCCTGGCTTCAGATCAGCACATCTCTGGCCATTGCAGCCAATTGGGGAGTGAACCAGCGGATGGAAGAATCTCCCCTCTCTCTCTCTCCCCTTCTGTGTAACTCTTTCAAATAAATAATAAATAAATATTTTTTAAAAATGTTGTTATTGTCTCCTTGCTCTGTTATCTCTATCTTTTGTTTATTCATGCTTTCAAAACATCCCTTATTATAGTTTAGTGGAGTTTCAGGAGATTAAAAATCTGTCACCTCAACTTGAAACCCATATAAGCTTTTTTATCTTTTTTTTTTTTTATCTTTTTTGACAGGCAGAGTGGACAGTGAGAGAGAGACAGAGAGAAAGGTCTTCCCTCTCTGTTGGTTTACCCCCAATGGCCACTGCGGCCGGCACGCTCTGGCCGGCGCACCGTGTTGATCTGAAGCCAGGATCCAGGTGCTTCTCCTGGTCTCCCATGCAGGTGCAGGACCCAAGGACCTGGGCCATCCTCCACTGCACTCCTGGGCCACAGCAGAGAGCTGGACTGGAAGAGGAGCAACCGGGACAGAATCGGGCGCCCCGGCTGGGACTAGAACCCGGTGTGCCGGCGCCGCAGGTGGAGGATTAGCCTAGTGAGCTGCGGCGCCAGCCACTTTTTATCTTTTTTTAAAAAAATATATTTATTTTATTTGAAAGGCAGAGCTACAGAGAGAGAGGGAGAGACACAGAGAGATGTTCCATCTGCTGGGTCACTCCCCAAATGTCCACAACAGCCAGAGCTGAAGCCAGGAGCTTCTTCCAGGTCTTCCACATGGGTAGCCCAAGCGTTTCTGCTGTTTTCCCAGGTGTATTAGCAGGGAGCTGGATGGAAGTGGTGCAGCTGGGACTCAACCCGACTACCATATGGGATGCTGATGCTGCATGTGGCGGCTTTACCTGCCACACCACAGTGCCTACTCCAGCTTTTTACCTTTAATAAGAGGATTTTCAATCTACCAAAGCCTTGATGTATTGGTACATTTAACCAGTTACATGTTATCATCTTTTAAGAAGGAACAAAAAGGGGGGGAAATTATTTTTTTTGGCTAATTTTAAGCTGGTAATAAAAAGTATACATTGTTAGAGAATTTAAAACTTAGAGTTAGTACTTCCCAGATACTAAAATATAGGATAAACCTCATGTGATAATCTACAGTTCACAGCCAGATGTATTCCTTATACAGTGAGATATTTAAGTGTTTTGGAGTACACAGATGTGAAGTTTACACTGATGATTCCAAACTGTAAAGTGATGGGAAAAAAATCCCATCCAGAACACAGAGCTGTTCCACGTGGCAGTCTCCTCTCCACTGTCACTTCTCACTTAATCAGCCCTGGCACCTACCGGCCTCCTCACTGCTTCCACAGTCTTCAGCACTAACCTTTGCTGTCTCTGTCGATATCACATTTTTTCTCTTATCTGTTATTCTATTACTTCTTTACTCCTTTCCTTGGCATTTCTCACTTTTGTTATGAGGAGGATTTGGCCTCGATGTTTTAGAAGTAAATCTATCAATAATATGCATTTAAAAAAATTTATGCATTTATTTGGAAGGCAGAGTTACAGAAAGGCAGAGGCAGAGAGAGCGAGACGAGAGAGATCGATCTTCCATCCACTGGTTCGCTCCTCAAATGGTCGCAAGGCTGGAGCTGGGCTGATCGGAAGCAAACAGCCAGGAGTTTCTGGTGCAGGGGCCCAAGCACTTGGGCCATCTGCTACTGCGTTCCCAGGCCATAGCAGAGAGCTGGATCAGAAGTGGAGCAGCTGGGACTAGAACTGGTGCCCATATGGGATGCCAGCACTGCAGGTGGTGGGTTTTATCCGCTACGCCACAGTGCTGGCAATAATATGCACTTGCATGTAGTGAATTTTTCACTCTCCCTTTGGCAGGTATGTACTGAGTGCCTGTTACAGGCCAGGTCCTATTCTAGGCATTAAGCACAAGACAATGAATCCAACAAAGCCCCTACTCTCATACAGCCTGCATTCAAGCAGGGGCGACAGATGACAAACAAATCAGAAGGAGCTGGACGTTATAAAGAAATAAGGATGGAGGTACAGACAGTGACAGGGTGAGGACACGTCAGTTACACAAGGTGATCAAAAGGCTTCTCTTGAAAGGGATCATCTGAGTAGACACAAGGATGTTTGTGGTACGAGTGTCGCAAGGGGCCAATGACAAGGGTGAAGGCCCTGAAGGGGAGCATGCTTGGGCTGCTAAGGAAATAGCGAAGAGACCAGTGGTGTGGGAAGAGGGTAAGCTTGCTTCTCTCTCAGCGTTTACTACATTTCTTTTGCCATGGTTTACTCAGAACATTTTAATCTTATTTTTCAGATGGGAACAGATCCAGATTCAAACTTATCTGAAAAGCTAAGACTGGCTGAAGTCTAACGGATAAGCAGGAGTGTTACGAAGCACGCTGGGCTGAACTTCGGCTTGTAAACACCATGAATTACATATATTGGCTAGCTGGTGGGGGGGGTGGTATTACAATGGGAAGATTTAAGACCCAGATCTGATTCTGAGTCCTTGTTCTGCACTTATTACTTGATCCTGAATCAGAGTTGTAGATGTTAGAATATTTATACCCTTCTACTTCTTTTCTAGCTTTATAGTGTAAAAGCATATTGGTTACAGGGAAAGAATTCTGGACTAAGAGTCAGAAATCCTGAGATAAAACACCCTTGCTGCCATTTATTTTAACGTGTGTCCTTAGACAAGTCACTTACTTATCCGTAAAAAATGAAAACCCCAGGCCGGCGCCACAGCTCACTAGGCTAATCCTCCGCCTGCGGCACCAGCACTCTGGGTTCTAGTCCCGGTTGGGGCGCCAGATTCTGTCCTGGTTGCTCCTCTTCCAGTCCAGCTCTCTGCTGTGGCCTGGGAAGGCAGTGGAGGATGGCCCAAGTGTTTGGGCCCTGCACCCACGAGGGACACCAGGAGGAAGTACCCGGCTCCTGGCTTCGGACTGGCGCAGCACTGCTGTAGCGGCCTCTTGGGGGGTGAACCAACGGAAGGAAGACCTTTCTCTCTGTCAATCTTTCTCACTGTCTAACCCTGCCTGACCAAAGAAAAAAAAAAAACAAAACAAAAAACCCAAAACCCAAAAAGATAAACCAATTTCCTTTATAACATTATGAAGATTAAAGATTAAATGACATAGGAATAAACAATGCATATGAAAGCAATTTGCATACTACAAAGTATTAAGACACATAAATATTTTGTCTCTTCACAGCTTTTATATTTATATTTAACTGTTTATGTTTTTCATCTAAGTGTTTTCAAAAATTTTACCTTTTGATCTATACCTAAGAATTGCATAAAAGTTTATCCTGCAAAGGCAGTTCTTAATTTTACCCTATAATAAATTTCATAAAATGTATCTTTTAGATTACACAGCAAAACTCAGATATGAACAACTTGACTTGAAATCCTTAAAAATGATCATAATGTAAATTTTCACTTTAACTTTATTAACTGTTTTGCAACAGATAATATGGGCACCTACAAAGAATAATTTGGATGACAAAGTAATAATCATTTTGCATATTTCCGTAACTCTAAATGACTTTTTAATGATGTTGGGACCTATTTTCCTTTTCATATTCTCTCTACTGCTAGCTAAATCACTGAGTGTTATACCTACATTTGCAGTCATATTTATTATCAAATACTTGATATATGTTTTGAAGACTGCACTAGAGATAAAATATTTTTAGCATCATATTGATAGCTATTAAAGTGTCCTTATGCTGCTAGACAGTAATTTAAAATGCAGTCTAAAAGAAAATCAGCAACAGCCTTAAAACACCTCAGTGGTCTTCCAAAGTCATTTACAAGAGACTTCAAAGAACAGAACTTACTCCATGCCCTGTGCAGTCTGCCGTGCAATATCTATAAGTTTGATCATCTCGAATTTGGTCTCAATGATGTGGAGATGGTGATATAAACTGGAGCCCTCACACCACTGGGTAACAATAGCCAGCTGTGGCTTTGTGGAATAGCCCATGAAAAGTAGGATATTCACATGTCGTGTTTTCCTGTAAAAAGAAATGACAGTGAATAGTAAATGTAATTTCTTAAAGAGCCAAACAGCAGGAAGTGAAGGAGATGACCTTTCGTCCCTTTCAACTGTACATCAAATGTGTATTTGCTTGGAAGAACCTGGTCTTTTGTGAGAAAGCCTGGACTGCATTTTCCTCCTCCTCCTACGAAGCAACAGCCCTCTTCTATTGTGTGACCCCTCACAGTACTGTTTACAAGTTCTGATTGTACTTGTTGCTTCAATCACAGTCTCTTTGGCCCCTTCCGTTCTGTAATGGACCATGTCTATCCTACCACTGTAACTGCAGTTCTGGAATGTTCTGGCACATCGTCCTAGTATTTGCAGGGTGAATGATAGCTGTTGAAAGAAGTATGGCACAGACGATCACAAGCTTAAAAGTGATATAAAATAAAATGAGACAGCATGATATAACTGATTTAAATGAATTAAAAATAAGTTCTAATTATCTTTAAAGAAAAAAAAAAAGACAGCCAAAATAGTCTATCAATTAGAGGTACCAGGAAAATGTGCCAAGTTAAAAAAAAAAAAACAAACAACAGAAGAATAAATTTAGGAGACTACAAATTGTTAATCTAACATCCCCCACTCAAATATCTTTCTTAATATACTTGACAAGCAACTTGAGGTTGCTTAAATACCCTCAATCATGGGGCTTATCACTGAGAATAGCCACCCCCACTCACTGTTTATGCAGTTTTAGTTTTAGAAACTTCTCTTATGTTGAGACAAAATTCATTCTTCTGTAACTGTCACAACTGGCTCCCCCATTTTGCTCTCTGGAATGACAGAGTAATTTAGCACCCTCTTGAATATAAAGGTTCTATGGATTACATTCCCCAAGTTCTCTTCAACTATTTTTCCCCAAGCTAAAGTTCCAGAATCTTTCTGATGCAGGTTGTCCTCTTTCAGACACACTCTGGTTTGTATACGTACCTCAAGGTTCACACACCAGGACTAAATACAGTCTCTAAAAATGTTCTGATGAGAATTCTCAGAGTACTGTTTCCTATGTGGCACTATCATTTCACATGGCCAGAATACTGTATTTCCATTAATTCAGTCTAGGATTAAATCTTCTATCACTATTATATACAACAATGCATAAATCTAAAATATACCAAGACAAGCTCTCTTTATATATGTTATCTCTTTTGAATAAATCTGTAAAGTTCACAGTGGCTACCACCAGAAAACAGGAATCAACAAAAAGTGACTTTTTTTCTCTGAAAAACAGTAATTCCCATAAGCTCACCTGAGTACTCCTACTTCATTTTTGAAGGCCTGTAACTGCTGAGGTGTAGGTGCTGTCACATTCAACATTTTTACTGCCACATCACCTAAAAGGTAATTGTCATTCTAGATGTCATTCCAATTTTTAAAATTTGAAAATATAAAACAGTCTTGGGTATTTTCACAAATTATCATAGTCCCAAATACAAATCCTTGTTAAACTGCAAGGAAATTATACTTTAAGTATATTAATTTAAAAAAAAAGATTTTAGTTATTTGAATGGCAGAGTGACGGGGAGAGACAGAGACATCTTCCATCTGCTGGTTCATTCCCCAAATGGCCACAAAGGCTGGGGCTGGTCCAAGCAGACATCAGGAGCCTGCAACATCATCTATGTCTCCCGCGTGGGGCCGCAGGAGCTCAAGCACTTGGCAATCCCTCAGTTTCCTCAGGCCCGTTCGCAGAGAGCTGCATCAGAAGTCGAGTCGCCAGGACTGGAACTGGTACTCCAACATGGGGTACTGGTGTCTCAAGTAGCAGCCTGACCTGCTGCACCACACTTTGACCCCAAGTATATTAATTTTTTAAGGATAAAGATGAACAATATTACTCCTTTAATAGAATTTCTTTCTTTTTTTTTTTTTTTTGACAGGCAGAGTGGACAGTGAGAGAGAGAGACAGAGAGAAAGGTCTTCCTTTGCCGTTGGTTCACCCTCCAATGGCCGCCGCGGCCGGCGCGCTGCAGCCGGCGCACCGCGCTGATCCGGTGGCAGGAGCCAGGAGCCAGGTGCTTTTCCTGGTCTCCCATGGGGTGCAGGGCCCAAGCACCTGGGCCATCCTCCACTGCACTCCCTGGCCACAGCAGAGGGCTGGCCTGGAAGAGGGGCAACCGGGACAGAATCCGGCGCCCCAACCGGGACTAGAACCCGGTGTGCTGGCGCCGCTAGGCGGAGGATTAGCCTAGTGAGCCGCGGCGCCGGCCCCCCTTTAATAGAATTTCAAAACGCCGATCCAGACAACAGTCGACCTTGTTTTTTCCCTGGAAGTTTAGTTTAACCAATTATGTACCTTTGGTATTTTCCTATTCAACAAATTAAATGAGATGTACTTACTAACTGCTGAAATTACAGATGATATACAATGGAGCTTGGCTTAAAATAGAAAATTACAAAACATTTTTATGAGCATAGTTAACATTTTTTTCACATCTATATGTTACTTTGATGCCTTTGATTATGAAAATGACTAAAATTGGAACTATAATCTAAACAACCACTTTGTAACACTGCTGGCAGTATGTATTAAAACTGCATATTCTGTAGTCCCACAATTCTCTCCTAGGTATAGATCCTACAGAAATGAAAAAGACATATACTAAGAACATTCATAGCCGCCGGCGCTGCAGTGTAGTAGGTTAAACCTCCGCCTGAGGCGGGGGCATCCCACACGGGTGCTGGTTTGTGTCCCAGCTGCTCCTCTTCCCATCCCGCTCTCTGCTTAAGGCCTGGGAAAGCAGCAGAGAATGCACAAGTGCTTGGGATCCTGCACCCACTTGGGGGACCCAGAAGAAGCTTCTGGCTCCTGGCTTTAGATCTGCTTGGCTCCAGCTGTCGCAGCCAACTGGGGAGCGAACCAGCGGATGAAAGACCTCTCTCTCTGTTTCCTTCTCTCTCTGTGACTCTGCCTCTCGAATAAATCAATCTTTAAGAAAAAAAATATTCACAGCAGAACCATTTGTAATAGCCCTAAACTGGAAGCTATACAAATGCTTGTTACACAATCAGTGGAAGAAGATATCATTTTATAGTTACAAAATGAATACAGAGAATAAATGAATTACAACTACACACTCTAATGCAGATGAATTTTACCAACAATGTTGAGTCAAAGGGGCAGACACAAAAGCGTACACACTAGATGGTTTCTGTTAAGGTCAGGATCGTGGTTTTCTTGGGAGAGAGGTGACTGCCTTAGGAATACAGGAGGGGACGTCCAGAGTGCTAGTAATGCTCTATTTATTCATCACCGATGTGTTCACTTTGTGTGATTCAGCTTCCTCTTCATGTCTGTGCACTTGTTATGTTGTTAAATATAACTTTAAAATACTGTTTCATATAACTTTTTAAACAGTCAGATTCAATTTTTCTTAAAATAGTGCTCATTGTATCAGCTGTAGCATATAATACTGCATACCACATTCAAATGTTAAAAACATTTTGAAAGCATAAAGAACAAAATTCTCATAAAGAGTTACTCAGGGGGCCGGCGCTGTGGCATAGCAGGTAAAGCTGCCGCCTGCAGTGCTGGTATCCCATAGGAGGACTGGTTCGAGTCCCAGCTGCTCCACTCCTGATCCTGCTCTCTGCTATGGCCTGGGAAAACAGTAGAAGACGGCTCAAGTGCTAGGGCCCTTGCACCCGCGTGGGACACCTGGAAGAAGCTTCCAGCTCCTGGCTTCAGGTTGGCGCAGCTCTGGCTATTGCGGCCATCAGGGGAATGAACCAGCAGATGGAAGACCTCTCTCTCTTTTTCTCTGCCTCTCTGTAACTCTGCCTTTTAAATAAATAAATAAGTGAAGAGTTGCTCAAAAATGAAATTATATTGCTGTATATTTATGTATAAGGGGGTCTTCGAAAAGCTCACAGAAATGGGTATTATGAGAAACCTTTTATTTTTTGCATCAAAATGAAGTTACATATATTTTTTAAATTCCGTTTATTCACAAAGCTTTTGAAGTAGCCTTGTATTATCAATCTTTTTTGTAGTGCTGTATGAGTATTTATGATTACATATGAAAAGATAACCTTAAAAGATATACACTAAAATACTGACAATCATTTTTTAAGTTTCTTTCTTTCTTTCTTCTTTTTTTTTTTTTTTGATAGGCAGAGTTAGACAGTGAGAGGGAGAGACAGAGAGAAAGGTCTTCCTTCCGTTGGTTCACTCCCCAAATGGCTGCAATGGCCAGAGCTGTGCCAATCTGAAGCCAGGAGCCAGGTGCTTCCTCCTGGTGTCCCACGCGGGTACAGGGCCCAAGCACTTGGGCCATCCTCCACTGCCCTCCCGGGCCACAGCAGAGAGCTGGACTGGAAGAGGAGCAGCTGGGACTAGAACCCGGCACCCATATGGGATGCCAGTGCCACAGGCGGAGGATTAACCTGGTGAGCCATGGCACTGGCCCCAGTTATTTATTCCTATTTATTTATCTGAAAGGCAGAGAGATACAGAATGATCTTCCATCTGCTGATTTACCCCCTAAATGCTAGCAATAGCCTCAAAGCCAGGAGTTAGGAACTCAATTTGGGTCCTTGCTTACGGGTGGGAGTCAGGATCTGAACCCAGACACTCCAATATGGGATGTGGGCATCCCAAGTAATGTCTTTTTTTTTTTTTTTTTTTTTTTTTTTTAATTTGACAGGTAGAGATTTAGATAGTGAGAGAGAGAGAGAGAGACAGAGAGAAAGGTCTTCCTTCTGTTGGTTCACTCCCCAAATGGCTGCTATGGCCGGTGCACTGCGCTGATCTGAAGCCAGAGCAAGATGCTTCCTCCTGGTCTCCCATGCAGGTTCAGGAGCCCAAGCACTTGGGCCATCCTCCACTGCCCTCCTGGGCCACAGCAGAAAGCTGGACTGGAAGAGAAGCAGCCAGGACTAGAACCCGGTGCCCATATGGGATGCTGGCGCCACAGGTGGAGGATTAACCAAGTGAGCCATGGCGCCGGTCCCCAAGTAATGTCTTAATCACTGTGCCACTCACCACGAAAGTAATTTTAAATAGTTGTATATTTCATATGTAGTTTCACAAAGTGAGGTATTATAGATGCTACTTTGTAAAATTTAATATATCACAGACACCTTTCCACATCAGTAAATGTTGCTCTACTGTGTCAATTTATAATCACATATGGAGGGATCAACTTACTTATCTTATAATCCACTGATGTGCACTTCAATTTATTGTCATTAATATTAAAGCTCTGATGAATGTATTTCACATATATCTGTTCCTCTCTGACTACTTCCTCAATACACATATTGCCAAATTGCCTTCCAGAAGGTTTACAGCAATTTCTTTTCCATCAGCAGCAATTCTAAGAATGATCAATCAAAAAAAAAATCTTTGTCCTTTGGAGAGGTAAATAATGATTTCTACTTTTTGATTTTCCTATTCTTTGATAACATTTTTTCTATGTACTGGTCATTTATATTTCTTCCTCTGGTAAGTACACTTTTAATATGTTTATTTGTGATTTACAATACAAATAAAATGATCAGCAAAAAGACTTCTAAAAGAAAAAAGTTGGGGGCCAGCACTGTGGCTTAGTGGGTACAGCTTCTGCCTGCCATGTCAGTATCCCATATGGGTGCCAGTTCGAGTCCTGGCTGCTCTACTTCCAAACCAGCTCCCCACTAATGTGGGTGGAAAAGCAGTGCAAGATGGCTCAAGTGCTTGGGCCCCTGCACCCACATGGGAGACCTGGAGGAAGCTCCTGGCTCTTGGAAAAACTCCAGTCTTTGTGGCCAATTGGGGAGTGAACCAGCGGATGGAAGACCTCTCTCTCTGTCTCTCCTTTTTTCTGTAATTCTACCTCTTGGGTAAATAAACATTAAAAAAAAATGACATACATACCGTGCCATTTTCCCTTGTAGACGGTTCCAAATGATCCAGATCCAATTCTCTGTCCCACGGTGATCTGCCCATCAGGAATCTCCCAATCATCACTTGAATCCCGTCTACCAAGAGTTTTCTTGAAAAAACAGTGCAAAAGTCAAGCAAAACCAAATCAAAAAGGAACACCTTAAATTTTATGCTAAGTACATTACTCTATGCCTAAAAGGGACATAGTTTAGGAAAAGAATAAGATCTATTTTAAAAAAACACACTTTGAATATTAGTTACAAGTATGACTCTTAAACACAAAGCTCAATTTCAGGCATGGAAAGCCAAGACATTGTGGCAAAAAATGGCCTACATGAAAGATCCCTGTGAAATCCCAGTGGAAAGAAGGGGCCATCAAAGAAGGAGGTACCTTTCTCTGAAGGGAGGAGAGAACTTCCACTTTGCTTATGGCCTTGTCTAAATAAGGTCGGAGTTTGTGAACTCAAGAGGCTTCTATGGCCTTGGCAGCTCATGACAAGAGCCTCGGGTGATTACTGATGCCACAAATAAGAGTGTCAACTGTTAAATCAACAACGGGAGTCACTATGCACCTACTCCCCATGTAGGACCTCTGTCCTTAATGAGTTGTACTATGGGAATTAACGGTAAAATTAGTCTTCAAACAGTACTTTATACTTTGTGTCTCTGTGTGGGTGCAAACTGTTGAAATCTTTGCTTAGTATAGAGTTGGTCTTCTGTATATAAAGTTAATTGAAAATGAATCTTAATGAAGAATGGGAAGGAGCATGAGGTGGGAAGGTTTGGGGGTGGGTGGGCGGGTAAGGGGGAAAAACCGCTATACTCCAAAAGCTGTACTTATGAAATTTATATTCATTAAATAAAAGCTTTCTAAAAAAACATAAAGCTCAAATTTAAGTCTTCAGTGTTAGGATGGAAACAATGTTCTATAAAACAAATTTACTAGATAGGAACTAAAATCTATCTTATTAAAATGGCTTTGTATCACTTGGAGAACCATTAGGGGCAAGAAAAGTGCTATATATTTATGACTAGCTTCAACTCCAAATCCCTCAAAATTTAACATATTGTTTAATCTTACCTATATCCAGTATTACTGAGAATTTATCTAATTATTCTTTTCTAATCATGGATAAATTTCCTCATACACCTTATCTGATCCAGTCTTGTAAAAAAAAAAAAATCAGCCTATGCAGTTATTTTGGTAGGGCAAAGGTCCCACCTAGTAACACACGCCACGGCTACAATGACTGTTTGGTCAGATTCACTGTACCAGCTGACTCTCCCAACAGGGACGAATGCCCTCTGGCAGCCACCTACATCTGCACGTGTCTTCAGAACTACCACACTTCCCAGATACTAGCGGATTCCCTCTCTCCTTACTTTAGAAACAGAACACTGCTGGTAACTCTTCCAAAACTGCCTTTTACTTAATCAGACTAAAGATGAGAGTGAAAATCAGTGCTGTAGGAATCTGCTTTAAACAACACTCAACTCTAACGTTTATTTGATTATGGAAATTCTGTGTCCCATACAGACATATGCATCTAACAGGTGATCTTAAATTTGGCTATGACTTGTAACATGAAAGAATCAGAGGAAAAACAAGGTATCCTGTCCTCTTACCATTCGATTCCTGTCTTCTGAGGAGGAAGACGACTTCCTCTCTCGCTGAGGTCCTGGGGATCTCTGTACAGCTTTCACACTAGTGAGTGAGCCAGGTAATGAGGCAGGGGGAGTGGCAGACAAACCCGTGGTCGATCCTAAGTCAGCCAAGAGGAAAATGGGTAAGAAGGAGGAAGAACGGTAATTTTTCAGGGGGCAGGGGTAGGAGGAGATACTTATTTTTCAAATGCAGTGCATGCTCAAATAAAGACCTTTAGGAAAGGATAAGCCCAAAAGAGGACTAGTTTGGTGATTAGTACTCTAATTTCTTTTAGTTTTCTGACTAGTTTAAGATCTCAACTGATGGATACGTTGTTTCCTTATATAAAGTCTAGAAGAGAAACATCTCTCTAAAATAAGACACATATCCTAAAAAATACTTCCAAGTTTGCTTTTTTGATTAAAAAAAGAAAAACCTTGAAGTCTATATAATAAACTTTATTTTACATTATTTCACTAACAACCAATATTAAAAAATTGATGGAAACCCCAAATGAAACATTTTCTAAAAATGGCTTTAACGCTGAAAGTATCTGGCTCTTTCATATCAGTCACTCTATTTAACTAAAACCTTAAACTACAAGCTCTATTATTCAAGAGATAACAGTGTTACTGATTTCTGGAGGCTTGTGCCACTAAATGAAGATTTTTTTTATTATCTGGTGACAAAGTTAATGTGAGCATTTTCCTACGACTTTCTGGAAAATCTGTCTTTTTAACAATGAAATAAACACTACAGCCTCTCAGCCAAGGTACTTCTGCAAATGCTAACACTCCGTATTCTGGTGAGCCTAAGGGGTATTCCGCTCCAGGAGTGGATGCAGCTGGGCAGGGTTGCATACCTTTCTGATGGGTGCTTTTCCAAATGCTGAAACAGTAGCACACATCTTAAGTCCACATACAGTAGTACATGGCAATGAGTCCTAGGCAAGGCTGCATATAGCTAAGTAGGACTGAGATGTCCAGGTAATGTTTCCAAACACAGAAGAAATACATATAAAACTGTTTTTTGAAAATCATTTCTACTCTCAGGGGAGAAAAGAGCCGCTGCCCTTCAAAAATTAAAGATACTGTGACAATTTTAAATACCAAATTTGGGTAGAAATTTTATTATTTTACCATATAACCATGTGGCATTTCCATAATCTCTCATGCAATTTTCTAAAAGAAAATGGTATCTGGGACGTTTATTAACACAATTCATTTTTTACTCTCCACTGGTAATTTTCATTAGTATAAAGCCTTAACTGCTCCATGAGGCTTTGCAGTTTTGATCTACTCAGTGCTGAGTAATTTTTCAGCTTAATTATAGTACTTAGTACTGTATAACTTCCATCCCATTCTATGGATTTCTAACAGCTGGGCTGAGAGAACAAAAATCTACAGAACTATCACTACATTCAGATTAAGTAACAACCACTTAACTAGTGGCAACAGCCAGTACACATAATTCTTTTAAAATATTTATATCTTATAAAGACACCAGTCTCAATTTGGACTTAATTTTAAAAAATCACTTTAACCACTAATTAAGGTATGGCAAAATGAAATGGAATGATCAAAGTATACTATTAACTTTTTGCTCCTGTTAGGGCATAATTAAAAGTATAAATCCTCAAATTTTCTGAAGTATGCTGAAACAGCCAAAATATATCACAGACCTTTTTCTTAAACAATTCCCTGCCTTTAACATGAGATACACATATCCTATATTAGGGGAAAAACAAAAGAAAACAAAGAACACTGCTAACCTTACAAAATCTTAGAGAAAAAATAAAACCAAGCACCTAATAAAATATCGTAACAGAGGTTTCCATTTATATTTTCATTCTCTAAGAAAACCACAAAAATTGCTAGTAAATATTATAGATCACCCCTCCCCCACCTTATTTAGTCCCACCCACTGAGCTTAAGACGTTGTCAAGACCACAAAGTAATAAGGTAACGAAGAATATGATGGATATCTCAGCTCAGATTTTGCTTGCTTTCTGAAATCTACGACAGACAGCATACAGAAAGCTTGTGGCAGGTGAGTATGGGTGAGAAGCACATTCAGAGCATTCCAGCCAAGCCAAGCCAAAATTTAGCACTGAACACTCTCGCTGACAAACACACGCTGTGAGGGTGAGCACAAACAGCATCTGTAGTTTATATTTAGTTTGCTTTGGGTGAAAACAAGAAAGAAGAGCCCAACTACCTCTGAACACTGGGCCAGGCTCAAAATCAAACACTATGTCACTGGGGACAGAAGGTAGGAGGGGACTGGGAGTCCGGGATTGGTATTTCCGAAGACAGCGCATCAGCTGGTTCAAAGGGGCTGTTAGAAGAGAAAGAGAGGGGCAGGCACACACAGGAAGACAGACACACAGAAGTCATGGGGAGTAAGTAAGATGAATTAAAGCCTGCTTCACAAAATAATTCTGGACGTTAAAAAAAGGTCTGCTTATTTTCATAAAATCCCAATCATTTAAAAAAATGACTCATATAAAGGGCAAGAAATGCCATTTGATTTTAGGTATTGAGCAGGCTGTGTTTATGACCAAGTTAACTTTGTGATGCTAACATGATGGCAACATTTAAATGCTGGATGTATTGGGCAAAATTATCAAAAGCCACAGCTGTAAGACATATGAAAGTCAAACTTGCAGCAACATTAATTGGCAGGGTTCACGGAATAACAAACAGGAAAAACAAAACAAAACAAAACAAACCAACAACCCCAATTAACCATGTGCTACAGTCAATACTGAGTCCAGAGTATATGATGCAGGCTTATCATTTTTTTGGTAGCTACACAAGTGTACAGATAAGTCAGAAAAGAGGGCTTCTACAATGATTACTCAGTACGTATGTCTGAGTCTGGATTCGGATATTTTGAAGATACAGAGGTCACAGGGAAGAGACCACCTCTAAGCAGTTAATCCAGGTCTGCCTGATGGGCAGAAGACAGCTGAGAGGGCAAGTATGGAACTCCTGGAAGAACATGTTACGACAGTCTCCAATACCACCTCTTGGAAAGCAGTATATAGGAAAAATTATTACAAAACAGTTTTTTCTTCAGCAATGTTTACATGTCTTATGTGCTAGAATGAATGCCACATGAAAATTCTGTGAGAAATCCCAATTTAATTTCTCTTTTGCTCATTTTATTTACTGACTGGTAAGAGGCAGCTGGAATTTTCCACAATGGATCCATTATACAGAATGTATACTTCAAATACTTATAAGAAGCTGAAGGGAAGTGGTTGATAAAGTCTGACAAAAAGAGAAGCTGTGGCAGGCAAGCCAAGGGATCCTCACAGAAATGATCTGGCAAAGTCAACTTTTATTTGATTCAAAGCTCGACCCTTAATTATCACTGGAGGAGCAAAGGAGATTTAGGAACTCCAGCTTTGCAGTGGCTACAAATTAATAAAGTGGGTGAGACAGCTAAGGATCGCTCCTTAGTATGGTTTTCACATACATAGCAAACTTAAGATTCCCTGTTGTGTCCCCTTATCTTTTACACTCTTGTTCTAATGAAAAATTTCTTAGAGAAAATGATAAATATTATAGAAAACCAAAAAAAATTGGTTTTTTCTCTACACATTTTTCTCTGTGTCTGTGTTTAATGAAAGAAGCAAGTATAAGGGAGATAAGCAGCAAAGCATTGCATTTTTTCCTTGAGGTTTTTTTAAATGAAAACCACTACTTACCTCCATCACCACGAAACCCTTGGTCTCTAATCAAGTCCTATAAATAAACAGTAATGTATATTTATTCAAAGCATACAGTAAGAAAGTAATAATAACGAATTTCTATTATAAACTAACAGGTTGATTAAAAATAATACCTTACAATTACTTAGTAAAATAGAAAGAATATAGAGTTAATTAATGAACATAATAAAATCTAGATTTTGAAGCATCTGCCAATCTAATCTTATATTGAAAGGATTATTAGTCCCAATCAAATGTTGAAATCCATTTCAGGCCATTCAAAACCAATGGCTTCATCAGTCCTTTAAAAATTCTACTGGCACATACTAAGAGCCATAAAGTGTTCATACCCTTTGATCCTGTAATTCCACTTCTGGGAATTTTTCCTAAGGACATAATTCAGAAGAAAAAATAATATGCACAAAATGTTCAGTGCAGCATTATCCATTATACTAAATAATTATTTCCCTATTATAGGCATTTTGATAGTTTATAGTTAAGTAAATTGTAGTGTATTAATTGAATGAAGTATTATGCAGCTATTTACCAAAATAATTATGAAATGTGAATCATGATACATGTTTATAACAATAAATACACAAAATCAAAAGTATACTGGTTACAATTTTAAAAACATGGACGTTTAAGAAGGACGCATTAGTAGGTAAAAATGATTATAGTCTAAATAGGGGTTCTGCTAAAACTTATTTTTTTTTTAAATAAAGCTTTTTGTAGAAATGTTGGTAGTGGGTGAATCTCTACTAATAATTCTATTTGGATCCTGATGGGTAGACCTTGGATTAATTTATTCAGTTTAATTTAAATGAGGGATTGAATGGCCCCAAATGTCTCTTGCAAATAAGCAGCTTTTTGTTTATAAACTCAAACACGGTAAAACCTTTACTGATCTATTTCTACGACATTCAATATATTATATAAAGCCTCCATCATTTTCTGCAGAATAATCAATATATACAACTGCAAACAAGGTACTAGGTAGTAGGGGTTTTGGTGTACCAATACTGAAATGCCCTACACCTATGGATTGACAAATCCAGCTTTTTCACCTTTATAACCTAATGATAGTATCAATATAAACTCACATTTTCAATTTCAAATATGGTCTTAAAGGTCCCTGACAATGTTTTCTACACATTCTAGGTTAAACAGGATCTTTCTTCCACCATTCTAAAATTCACTATATCCGACATTTTCCACTCTCTTGTTCCTTCTCTTTCTCACATCCTTTCCCTTCCCCATGAAAAAACAGATGCCATCAAAGAACCTTCTTGTATCTACAAATATCTGCACAGTGTTACTAGCTGCAGTATCTGAAATCTTACTGCGCACCAGGGATAACAAGCATTTCAAACCACACAGGAAGCAGACGCCAGCACCTCAGGGTTAAGTCATCTAACATCTAACATCGTGACGCCTGTGAAGGCCTGCAAGAGAGTAACGTCCATCAGTAACTCCTCACGGCCTCTCAAGAACATCATTTCCCAGTTAAAGAAACTTCATCAATCCTTTCTGCTCTCTTCAACCTCTTCACTGACTTCTTCTCCAGTGGCAAACAGCGCTAGTCTAACATTAGAGACAACTGTCCCTTAACCTTGCATCAAGCCATGGCTCTTCTGCCCTCCGTTACAGCCAGGCTCTCCAAACTGACAAAATTCTATGTTCTCATACACCTTTCTCTCCTCTCCTAAACAACTAAAACAGCTTTCAGTGAAGTCAAAATGGCAACTTACATGCCCAAACCAACAGTCATTCTGATACATGCCTCATTTGAGTCTTAATGGCAGCTGGCATCAACTACTGCAGCACTCTGGAAGCCCCTTTTCCCCTTGGTTGTTAACACCACTTCTCTCTCGGGAAGCCCCCTTTCCCCTTGGTTGTTAACACCACTTCTCTCTTAGTTACCTGAAGCCAGACTGGGGGAGAGGAGCAGCTCTGAAGAGACACAGGCAACAACAGGCTCTGCCTGCACCTCAAATACTGTTTTCCAGGGTTGCTCTGTACCTGAGAGTGTCGGCATATATGTGTTGTACATACATATGTATATGTTTATCTCACCCCATGGCTTCAGCGGATAAATATGCTAATTACTTCTCAACCTGGAACACCACTCAAGGTCCTTACATGCAACAGCCATTGGACTTCTAAACCACAAAGTCCCACAGACATCTTAAAGTCAACAAATCAACAAAGAAGCTATGACTCCTTGTTTCCGCAAACTCCATACTTATTCCTTTGGTTATTTCCTGTCTTAGTGACAAGTACCATCCATTCGTCAAAAACTGGGTCTTTAAGCCAGAAGCCTGGGCATTACCTTCTACTTCTCTTCCACCTTTCTCCTCTACTGCTATATAGTACCTGGTTAAATATATGAAATGAAGGCCAGGTTTTAAAACCATTTCAACCATTTATCAGCTCTGTGATCTTGGGTGTATTTCTTAACCTCTGTAAATCGAATATTCTTAACAGTAAAATAAAGATAATGATAGCATTTAACCCATGAGTTTTTATAGGGATTGAACAAGGAAATTTACATGCACATAGTAAGCACTCATGAACAGCAGCTATTTTCAGCAACATTTCTAAGTACTTTATCACTAATTTACAGTCTCCTCTGCTCCCATCCCCCAACCCATGCCACAACTCGAGCTTAAACCTTTATCTACTCCTGCTTAGAATACCCAGATGGGCCGTTGGTGTGGTATAGTGAGTTAAGCCACAACTTACAACACCAGCGTCCCATACTGGAATACAGGGTTGAGCCCTGGCTACTTGGCTTCTAGTCCAGCTCTCTGTTAACGTGCCTGGGACAGCAGTGATGATGGCCTGCCTGATGGTTGGGCCCCTATGACCCATGTAGAGACCAGAATGGAGTTCTAGGCCATGTGGGGGAGGGAACCAGCAGAAGAAAGAACTCGATTCTCTCTCTGTCACTTTGCCTTTCACACAATTGAAACAGAACAAACAAAACCCCCAAGCAAAAGCATGTGAAAGTCACATTAGTGACAGTATGGCTTCTGCGTGTGTTTCCCAATTGACCTATCCTCCACACTACACCAAGATTTTTCCAATTTACAGAACTGACCTGTCATGCTCAAAAAAATTTTTAAGATTTCCCACAACTACGTTAGACACAAAGCCTTTCAATACAGATTTTACCTACCTAGTTTCATCTTCCACTATTTCTCAGTCTTCTCTTGAACCCTAAACTTCTACAACAATTGTTACTTACCATATCCGACGTAAAGGCACTTCCATGCCTTTGCACGTACTGTTTCATTAACACCATTCCTTCCCAATCTCCCTGCCTAGTGTACTTAATAAATTCTTACTCATTCATCTTTTGGTTTGGCTTAATTGTCGTCCCCTCTCTGCTAAATATTCCTAAAGGTAACCATGCAGAATTTATTACTCCCTTCTCTAAATTGTCCATCTTATGGTCATTTAATTCTGTCTGATTTCTTGACTACGCTGTGACTTCCTTGAGGGCAAAGACTGGATACTAATTCATCCTTAATTCCCAACTGCCGAACACACTGTCTAGCCAATAGCAGAGTCAATAGCAAATCTTTTTCGTGGAATAAGTGAGCATGAATGAAAATGCTAAAGAGTATATAGTTTATCTTAGTAACCAATGGGAAATCACTGAGAGTTCTGGAACAAGAGAACAGATAGTGACAGAAATGTTGTGAAGAAATTACTCTAACAAGAACATAGAGAATGAAAATGAAGGACTGGTGGCGTGGCGCAGCGGGCTAAGTCACAGTTTACAACACCAGTATTACCAATCAACAGTGCCAGCTTGAATCCTGGCTGCTTTGCTTCTGACTTAGCTCCTTGCTAATGAACCTGGGAAAAAAAGTGGACAATGGCCCACGTTTTGGGCCCTTGCCACCCATGTGTGGGACCGGAATGAGTTCTGGGTCCTGGCTTCCACTTGGCCCAGTCCCAGCCATTGTGGATGTGGGGAGTAAACCAGCAAATGAATATCTCTCTCTCTTGCAAATAAATAAATAAATCTTAAAAAACAAAAACACAGAGAAATCAGTGGCAGGAAATCTATTTAGGAGATCAATGTAGTAAGTAGTTAAGTGAAGAAATGTGGGCCCAAATATTGGTAGTGACAATTAAGACCCATTTTGAGATGCACATAAAGCAAAGGTGATACTTTATGACTGTTTGGTTATGGAGGAGAATAATAAAAAGCCAAGATTTAAAGATATTTCAAATGTTCAAGCCCAAGAGAATAGTAGTAACAGATAAAAAGGGAAATGGTCTAAATCAAAGTAAATATAACTGTTACAATTTTGGATGTACTGAGAATAGGTTTATCTAAAAATATTTTGATTTCTTACTTCACAGTCTCCTTTTTCCCATTATTTGCCTCTCCTACGTTCTTCCTTTCTATTCAGGTCTAAAGGGAAAGCCCTTATTAGTATAAGGAAAAAGCCACTTAAAATGAACCCCATAAAAATTGAGAAAGTTCCACAGTAAAAAGCACAAAGAAAGTCCGATTTGGGAATTTATCTTGGAAAGCAAAATTTAAAATTTTTTTTAACTACTGTTTTTTTTTTTTTAATTTATTTATTTGGAAGAGTTACACAGAGAGAAAGAGAGAGAGAGGTCTTCTATCCGATGGTTCACTCCCCAATTAGCCACAATGGCTGGAGCTGCACCGATCAGAAACCAGGAGCCAGGAGATTCTTCTGGGTCTCCCACACGGGTGCAGGGGCCCAAGGACTTGGGCCATCTTCTACTGCTTTCCCAAGCCACAGCAGAGAGCTGGATCGGAAGTGGAGCAGCTGGGGCTCGAATCAGTGCCCATATGGGATGCTGGCGCTTCAGGCCAGGGTGTTAACCCACTGTACCACAGCACCAGCCCCAGCAAAATTAAAATTTAAAAAAAATTTTTCTTTTACAATTGATGAAATTTATTCCAACCATATGCTAATTCTTAAACATAGAAGCAAAATTTTTTGGCCATAATGCAAAACTTATGATAGTACAAACTGAAATACTTATATTCATGTTCATCTTTTGCCAATCATAATCATTTTTATAAAAATTTTAAAGGGGGCTAGCATTGTGGCACAGCAGGTTAAGTCTCCTGGGATGTTGGCATCCCACAGGGTAGCCGGTTCAAGACCTGGTTGCTCCGTTTCTGATTCAGCTCCCTGCTAATGTGCCTGGGAAAGCAGCAGAAGATAGCCCAAGTCCTTGGGCCCCTACATCCACGTAAGAGAGCTGGATGAAGCTCCTGGTTCCTGGCTTGGGCCTGGCCCAGCTCCAGCTATTGTGGCCATTTGGGGAATGAACTAGTAGATGGAAGATCTCTCTGTTTTCCTTCCTCTCTTTGTAACTCTTTCAAATAAAATAAGATAAAATCTTTAATTTATGAACTTCCTCAAGGACCTGTATTAACCATCTGACATTTAAACTATTGTGTTCATTTGGAAGGTACAGCAACAGAGAGAGAGAGGGACATACAGAGGCAGAGATCTTCCATCTGCTTGTCTGTTCACCAGATGGCCACAATGGTTTGCACTGGTCCAGACCAAATCCAGGAACCTGGAATTCCATCTGGGTCTCTACATGGGTGGCAGGGGCTCAAGGACTTGTCAATCTTTCCCTGTCTTACTAGGCACATCAGAAGGGAGCTGGACTGGAAGTGAACAGTCAAAACTTGAATTGCTGCTCCAACTGGGACGCCAGCTCTGCAAGCCCAGAGTTAATGTGCCATGCCGCAACGTCAACCCCAAAGCATTTTTTTTATTTGACAGTAGAGTTACAGACAGAGAGACACAGAGAGAAAGGGCTTCCCTCCGTTGGTTCACTCCCCAAAATGGACGCCAGGGTCGGTGCTGCGCCAATCCGAAGCCAGGAGCCAGGTGCCTCCTCCTGGTCTCCCACGCGTGCATTTTCAATAGAAGATAAGACTTACAGAGACGGTGTCATAAGGACAAAAATCAGAGTAACTTATTTATCATTGGTGAAATATTTACAGTGAAGAAGACAGGCTTTTCTGTGGTTCAAAAAATAATCTAGCATTTAAAACAACAGCAATAAATCAAAGGTGGCATTTAATTCTGATGTATATCAGAAAAATAAGGAAATGAACTTGAAATTTTTAGTGCTAGCAATCTGGGTACTTACATCAATATTGACAGGTTCTATTGTGTTAATGTGAACATTAGGCGCTGATGAAGACCGGTCTCGTTGCCCAAACTGATTTCGATGATCTTCATCTGCTGGTCGGAAGGACTGTGGAATCGGAATGGATTTTGAAGGGGACGGACTGGTGAGAATTTGGTGCCTGGAAAAGTCAAGTCATTGAAAGGTAAGGTTCAGAGCGACTACATAAATAATAATATTAAAAAACTACAATGAAAAGATTTTCTGGTTTCTCAAAATCATTAAGTATTGAAAATCCTGCAGTAACAGCTTTAAAAGGTTCTTACTTTAAAAAAACCGACACATACAAACCGCTAAAGCTGTTTTGCTTAAACAGATTTTCCAGTGGCTATCTATAAATAAAAACTGATTGTTATTCAGAGAATTTCAGGCAATCTACAAATAGCTAGAAATTACCTGTGTTTAATCAGCTTGAAGACACAAAATCTGCCATTTTTTCTAACTTTGCCACTTCCTGACATATGAAGCTACTAACATGAAAATTTTATGGCAAGTATGAAGAAATTATAAATAATTTTAAGAATATGTATGAACATTTCTGGACCTGAAAGATTTACCTGTTACTTTATACCAGAGTTGAACGAAAATTCTAAAAAAATCAAAATATCATTTCCAAATTCCGAAGATAACCCTTATAGAATTAATTTCTCTCATATTTTGAATTTTTGGTCATGATTAATTGTTGATACCAGAGACACAGAGAATTATGTTAAACAATAAAGCAAACATTTTAAAAATTGCTTTTTAATCAAACCACCAAAATAGGTCACCTAAAATAGCTGCTGCACATAAATAACAAAGTATAATTTATCATAAGCCCTAAAAGGAACCTGACACTCACAAGAAACATGAAGGTTTTGAAAACAGACTAAGTCTACGCCCTCCAGACAGGGTACTGCAGGAGGCGAAGCATCACGTGGTAAATGAGGCACAGTCAGCGGGCAGGCACTGCACTCTGCCAGGACCTGTGCATGAGCTGGAGCCAACAAGCTCTCTCTGCCTACTGGTTATCCTTCTACCTCACTGCATGAAAGCTCTCGAATCAGCACTGCCTACTGTACTAACACCCGGACAGAATGACAGTGTTGAGGGAATAAAGAACATTTGTTAAGAGAAAAGAGTGGGGCCAGTGCCGTGGCATAGAAGGCAGGGCCGCTCCCTGCAGTGCTGGCATCCTGTATGTGTGCAGGCTCATGTCCAGCTGTTCCAGTTCCGTTCCAGCTCCCTGCAATGTGTCTGGGAAGGTAGTGGAAGATGGCCCAAATCTACAGGCCTCTGCCACCCATGTGGGAGACCTGGAGGAAGCTTCTGACTATTGGTTTTGGCCTGGACCAGCCACAGCCATTGTGGCCATTTGGGGAGGAAACCAGTGGGTGGAATCTCTCTATCTCTACTTTTCAAATAAATAATAAATCTTTTTTTTTTTTTTTTTTTGACAGGCAGAGTGGACAGTGAGAGAGAGAGACAGAGAGAAAGGTCTTCCTTTTGCCATTGGTTCACTCCCCTAATGGCCGCTACGGCCGGCACTGCACCGATTTGAAGGCAGGAGCCAGGTGCTTCCTCCTGGTCTCCCACACGGGTGCAGGGCCCAAGCACTTGGGCCATCCTCCACTGCACTCCCGGGCCATAGCAGAGAGCTGGACTGGAAGAGGAGCAACCGGGACAGAATCCGGCGCCCCAACTGGGACTAGAACCCGGGGTGCTGGTGCCGCAGGTGGAGGATTAGCCTATTGAGCCATGGTGCCGGCCAATAATAAATCTTTAAAAAAATAAAAAAAGAGGAAAGGGTCTGGAGAGAAATGGGAAGAAAATATAGCAAGAAAAATAACGGATAAGTTTGAAGAGCAGAGAAAGCTCAGCAGTGACAAAGCTTCTGAAGAAGTATGCCGACAGAGTCTGCACCACGACTGTTTACTGGTCCTGCTTCCTTCAAGCTCATTACTAATGACAGAGAAAACCTGACTTTGGGGCTGGTGCTGCGGTGCAGTGGGTTAACGCCCTGGCCTGAAGTGCCGGCATCCCATATGGGCGCTGGTTCGAGTCTCAGCTGCTCCTCTTCCAATCCAACTCTCTGCTATGGCCTGGGATAGCAGCAGAAGATGGCCCAACTCCTTGGGGCCCTGCACCCACGTGGGATACATGGAAGAAGCTCCTGGCTCCTGGCTTCAGATTGGCACAGCTCCAGCCATTGTGGCCATCTGGGGAGTGAACCAGTGGATGGAAGACCTCTCTCTCTATCTCTAACTCTCTCTGTAACTCTTTCAAATAAATAAAAATAAATCTTAAAAAAAGAAAAAAAGAGAAAGTTTGACTTTATGTGTTCATTTTAACTAAATGAATCCCGTTAGAACTGAAATACAAATAATAAAAAAAAAATTGGTACTGGTAAAATGATGGTTTTAGGTTAAGACTGATGGAACTGGACTTTAGAAAAGTTAGCATGTTCACTGGTATCCTTTTTATTCTTTCCAGTTATTGAGAAAGTTTAGAGTGTGACTCTGCTGTCTTTCTTTTTGCTTTAGGCTGCCAAATATACACCCCTTGCTAAGGAATTTGGGATGAGGGGAAAGGCTGGAAACATCACATTAAGTTAAGGAAACAGTTTGGAAGGTGCACTCAGTAGCAAGCACGCAGTGACGAGCAGTCCCTTGACCTAGAGCGCCTGGGCTACATGCTGCCCCAGCCCGATTCCAACGTCCTGCTCCTGCAGACTCTGGGAGGGAGCGCTGACAGCTTAAATGACTGGATCAACACCCGAGGTGGAGACCCAGACTGAGTTCCATGGTCCTGGCTTTGATGCTGGCACAATCCAGGCCGTTGTGGGCATTGTTGTGGGGAGTGAATCAGTTGGTAAGAGTAACCAAGTATCCCCTTGCTTTCTCTGTGTGCATCTCTCAAAACAAAACAAACAAAACATTATTCACAGTCTGATTTAAAGTTTCAAAGCAACAGCATTTTAAGCCAGGACTTAAAATTGGAAAATGCCTGAATTAACTAGAATGATATGGGATATTCTAATTAATAATTGATCTGATATAAGTAGAAGTGACAGTTATTTCAAGAACTAAGACTATGACAGAAACATATAGTGGATAATCAATCATAAATAAGTTCACAAAGGATGTTGGTCAAGAAGCAAGGAAAAAATCTGATAAATTACATTATCATATCTAAAGAAAAGAAGATGTATATTAAAAATGAAGATATTTGCTTATAACAAAAAAATAAGAGAGACTAAATTTGGCAGTTGATATCTTCTACTACTTGTGGAGTGAGTCAACTTGTCTAGCCTTGAGGGTAAATATTCATTACTCTAGAACACAGAGTATTATACTGCGTATATATTCTGATATATTAAAAATCTGAATCATGTCTTACTTCCATGCTTAACAAAAATAGTCTTCTGATTATAGTTTGGTCTCCCATAAATACTTTCCAAAAGAGTAGCAGTAATACTCAACACAAGAAGAACACTGATCTATACAATAGGTATACTTCCCAATAAAATGAATTATCTGGTGATTCTGATTCATGGAAACCAGAAGATTCCTAATTCTCATCATTTCTGGAGAACGAAAAGGCTGAGTTTCTATACTGGGAAATCTTTACATACACCAAATAATCTATACCCTATGACGTTATTTGGCAGTCAGCAAACTGGCTTTCTCCTCATGATACCTTTATCTATCCAGTGGCAAACCTCTTGCAAGCAGTATTAAATTAAATATGAAAAGAATCTTAATTCCAACACCCTTAGCAAATTTTTAGTTTAGATCTCATTTTTAGTTTAGATTATTCTGAAGTTTTGACACAAAGCAACTCTTCAGTGATGTATAAATTTTCAGTGTTGACTGTTATAATTTTATACGTTCTACAGCATTTTGCAAAAGTGGAACAGCAGGTAACCTCTCACTTTGTATTGGAACTGGGCAGTGTACTACTTCTCCAATATTTCTTGGCTGCATCCATTTTTCTACTCATTTCATTCCTATTTTAAATATTGCCAGGATTAGTAACACAGGCAAACTTGTTTTAGTACTGATCAATACTGGCGTCGATCTTTACAGAGGAAGCCACACACACCTGACATAAAAGCATCAGGAACATGACTTACAGAGAAGTTTTAAAATCTTATCATTTTCTCAAGCCCAACATCTACTTCAGTTAAGTTATGAATATAATATACTCATGGCAGAGGCAAATGTTTCTTAATTTTAAGACAGCATTCCTTTACTGGAAGGCAAATGTCCTAGATCATTCCCATTATAAACTTTCAGAGAGGTCAAGCTAATTTCATTATGGTGTTCCGGAACTCTGCTCACAGAACTGGGACATGCTATTAAAAAAGCATAGTGATCCACAGAATCTGTCAGGAGAAAGCGTCACAGCCAAAGGATTAGTTAAAAACTCAAAGAAACAATAAACATTTTTATTTGGTCATTTAAAAAACACACAGCTGCACACAAATAATGACAAAACCAGCAGAACTAGATGACTTTACCAGAATGGGTAACTGTTGCAACCTGACAAAAAAGAACACAGTGACCACAATTTCCAGAGTTCCCAATTGGTAAAGGAAGCCATTCCTTAATACAAAATTCTTCTGCTAAATTTTCTAACCTATGATACTGCCAGAAACATTGGATTCATAAAAATTATCAGGTCTAATGGAAGTGCCAAGTTATAAATGTGTTTTGAATATTCTAGAGCAGAATGTTCTATGAGAACATTCTTCTTGAACCATATACTTCTAGACATAGCATAAATAATGCTGCTTTAAATCCAATAAGGAAACAGTAAACAGACCTGTTATAAAACAAACAAACAAGTTTCCAAGCAAACTAATGCCTGATTAACTCAGTTTATCATGTCTTTTTTTTTCCTTCCACTATTTGGCTTAAGTATATGATGCCATTGCACTGTTTTAAAAGTTATTTCTCAGGAACTGGTGCTGTAGTGTGGCACACTGGCATCCCATATGGATGCTGGTTCAAGTCCTGGCTGCTCTACTTCCAATCCAGTCCCCTGCCAATGTGCCTGGGAAAGCTGTGGAGGATGGCCTAAGTGCTTGGGCCCCTTCACCCATGTGGGAGACCCAGAAGAAACTGCTGGCTCCTGGCTTCAAATTGGACCAGCTCCAGCTGTTGCGGCCATCTGGGGAGTGAGTCATTCGATGGAAGATCTCTCTCTGCTTCGCCTCCCTCCCTCTCTCTCTGTAACTCTGCCTTTCAAACAAAATAAAGGCCGGCGCCGCGGCTCACTAGGCTAATCCTCCGCCTAGCGGCGCCGGCACACCGGGTTCTAGTCCTGGTTGGGGCGCCGGATTCTGTCCCGGTTGCCCCTCTTCCAGGCCAGCTCTCTGCTGTGGCCAGGGAGTGCAGTGGAGGATGGCCCAGGTGCTTGGGCCCTGCACCCCATGGGAGACCAGGAAAAGCACCTGGCTCCTGGCTCCTGCCATCGGATCAGCGCGGCGCGCCGGCTGCAGCGCGCCGGCCGCGGCGGCCATTGGAGGGTGAACCAACGGCAAAGGAAGACCTTTCTCTCTGTCTCTCTCTCTCACTGTCCACTCTGCCTGTTAAAAAAAATAAAAGTAAAAAAAAAAAATAAAAAAAAATAATTCAAATAAAATAAATAAATCTTTAAAAAAAGGTCATTTCTTAACATTCCTCACAACTGATTAGCAATACTATTATTTATTTTACACTTTAAGTATCCATGCTTTCTCCACACTGCCTCCACTCCAGTGCAAGCTTTCACTGTCTCTCAGGTTGACCGTCTTCTTCCTAGATTTCTCTTTCTTTCTTTAAAGATTTTTTATCATGTTAGAAATCCGTTTGAAAACTTTTAATTCTTTTCTCTCGTGTCAAATCTGAATTCCAGCTTTACTTTCGACACCTTCCATAATCTGATCTTATGCATATTACTTCTCAACTTAGACAAGCATTTCTTCCCTGACCCTACCATCCTCACGCCCATTTACGCTGTTTCTCCACGTCCCTAACACCAAGGCTTTTCTTTATGGCCCCGTTCAAATCTTCCTTCTTCACTAATTTTTCCTAAACACTTCCTCTCACTATTCTTTCTCCCATACACATGAAAACATTTATGTCCTATAACATAATTTAATATACTCCATCATATATTGTAGACTTTAATTATATACTATTCTAAGTTTACTATTGTGTTGATGACACTTTTATAAATAGAAGATGAATATAAGACAAGGATTCAAAACTATCTGTAGCTTGAATTTTTTCAGGACTAGTCCTGAAATAGTCTATGTCAGCTTTAATCTCATTTTATCTGTACCAAATGCACATAAATCTCTGAGCAAATAAGCTATTAAAAATTCGTTTGACAATTCAAATGTTAGATAGGTCTAAGGTTAACCAAAAGATTCACAAGGAAGCAGTGGAAGAGCATGTCTGAACAGCAGCAGTCTGTCATACCCAATAGAGTCTGAGGGAGGTGCGGAAGGCGATGACCCAGATGTGAGGGCAGTCTCTGCTAAGGAGGCCTCCTCCTGTGGTACTGGGTGGTGTTCAAAGAACTTGGAGACAAACAGCAAACTGTGAGGCAAAAACAAAACAAAACAAAACAAACCTAACTTGTGCAAAACCCAGAAGCTTCATATATCAGAATATACAGTTAAGGGAAAAATCTGGGATCAAATTCCATCTTCAGAAATAACAGTTAAATCAACAGTTGTATTTTTGTTTAAAAGTTTTTTTTTTTAATATAAATAGTACATGCAAAGGTAAGCTCAGATCTGAAAGAAAATTTTTCCATTTAGAAAGTTTCCACATATTAGAGTAAGCAAAATTATGCTTTATGATTAAGGAATTAAAAGAAAAAGTATCTACTGCTAAATTAGATCACAGAATTATAATTTAACACATAGAACTAAATTTTGTTTCTGCAAGTGATCAAGAAAAGCAGTAAAGATCTTGAAAGCAGCAGCAACATGACACAAAGGAGATTAAAATGGACTCAGTTGGGGAAGGCACTGTAGCACACATGCTTGCACCCCATACTGGAGTGGGATTGAGTCCTGCCTCCACCTCCAATCCAGCTCTCTGCAGCTGCACCTGGGAACAGCAGCGGATGACGGCTCAAGCACTTGGTTTCCTGCCACTCATGTAGGAGTTGTTGGCTCAGCTACAGTAGTCATATGGGTAGTGAACCGGTAGACAGAAAATCTTTCTGTCATTCTGCCTTTCAAATAAATAAATACTTCCAAAAAAGGGACTCCGTTGAATGCATTAGAAAGACTCTGACATAAAGCAAAGAGAAATTTTAGAAAGAGATATACTAAGTACAAAGATCTGATATCTACTCAAATAAAACTGGGCCAAGGGAGTTGAAGGGAAGAGATGTGGGGGAGAAAGATGGGGAAAGCAGAGAAGTTGAGGGAGGGGAGGGAGGAAGTGGGGGAGAGGTGCAGAGAATAATGGAAAATTCAAACAGAATTTACTAAATAGAGGACAGAAGCATATTTGTGTTCCAAAAATATAATGACTAACTTAATCTCTTTCCTTTGAAAAGCTATCCCAAAGTGATTTCTCTGGGTTAATGGTGTTTATTATAAAAGGGTCTTATAAATGTAAGTTACATATATAGCTGAACTAGAATCATAATTGGGGAGAGAAGTGCTAACTATTCTATCTATTTCTTACTAACCACACTTAAATTCCTTGTACAACTGCCCTGAATAGAAAACTCCTCACAGACTGTAAGACATACTCGTTTCAAATTAGAGAAATCTAGAAGCAAAACTGTATTCAGAAGAGAGATTTTTGAGGGATTACTTACTCAAGTTGGTCATAATTAACACACATCAGTGGAACTTCCGTACTACAACGCTGGTGAAATTTGTAGCCACATGTTTGACAGCGGAAACCCTGGAAAAGCAGCTTTCTACAGAAGTCACAAAATGCTAAGGTGAAAAAAGTTTTCCGTACCTGCAAAATGAAAAATCACAGGAGATTTCAGAAAGGTGCAAGAATCCTTTTAGAGGTCATATTTATTCTGTCTAAAAGAATATGTTTTAGTATAGTTATATCATGAAATCACATATTAAAACACTAAAATGAAAACAAGGGGTGTCAATATAGGTAAATCACATATATTTACTCATATCTCAAAAATCCAACTTAAAACCTCCCAAGTCAGGAGAACGAGAAGCAAATAACAGACTAGCAGCTGATCTCAAGCTTGACAACATAAAAGTAGACAGCAAATAGAAAGAGGGAGTCGAGGCAAAAAGGAAGAAGAACATTCTTTAATTATCATACAAACAAGGGAGTTAAGGGATACTGAATGATGCTGCTGGAAAGGGACACAGACATATTTACATTCATTAAAATCACAAAGGTTTCCGATAGAAGAACCAAAATAAATAAATAAGTAAATAAATACACGGGGGGGGGGGGAGGAGGAAGAAGAAGGGTTACAATGCAACTAACAAACTAATTCCATAAGTACTCAGGAATCAGGAGATGATGCTTAAATTTGATAAAACAATAAACTGTGGCTAAAAGATATTATTTTGTAAAATGAAATAAGCACCAAAAGAGTGTGAAACAGAAGCCATTAATAATTAAAAATGATATCCTTTTAGGGGTTGGCAGGAGGGAGGGGAATTTAAATGTACTTTATAAAATAGTAGACAGTTAAAGACCCCTGTTCACTCTATGACAATGTAGGTGAACTTAGAGCGCATGGGATGACAGAGTATTTTTCACTTTAAGCTCCACTGCAATAGTTTTAAAACTATACAGGGGCTGGTGCTGTGGCATAGCAGGTAAAGCTGCAGCCTGCAGTGCTGGCATCCCCATATGGCCACTGGTTCAAGTCCTGGCTGCTCCACTTCCGATGCAGCTCCCTGATATGTCCTTGGGTCCCTGCATCTGTGTGGGAGACCCAGAAGAAGCTCCTGCCTCCTGGCTTTGGATCAGCATAGCTCCAAGTGAACCAGTGGATAGAGGACTTCTCTCTCTCTCTCTTTCTGTTTCTACCTCTCTCTGTAACTCGTTCAAATAAATAAAATAAATCTTAAAAACAAAACAAAACAAAACAAAACACTCACGAAACTATACATAGTACTACCTGGGTAAAAATGAAGAAGAATTATTTACAAAAGATAAAACTAGTATGTAATTATATGTAAATCAGAACAATCCTACCAATGAGGATAAAGGAGAGGAAAAAGAGATAGTTGTTACCTTTAGCAAATTATCAATTTATTAGAGGATTAGAAATTTAAAAGACAACTTGTAAGAATTCCATGTCAAAAAGGTAAATGAGATATAACATAGAGTCACATAAATAGAACTGTGGTTTAGAAGAATCTATCCTAGAAAAGCCAGAAATGGTTTAAAATGTATTTGTTTTGTGCAAATAGTATACAGAAAATATAAGAAGGAAAAACTAATACAAAATGCTAACAATGTTTCTTTGAGGGTGGTTAGAGTATAAGTGACTTCTATTTCATTCTTTGGTCTTTGACGTATATCCTCAACTCACCTTAGTTTTTCAAAGTTTTGATTACAAATAATAGTAAAACACATACATTTCAGGGGCCAGTGCTGTGGTATAGCAGGTAAAGCTGTCCCCTGCAATTTGAGTCCTGGCTGCTCTACTTCTGACCCAGCTCCCTGCTAATGTGCCTGAGAAAGCAGTGGAAGATGCCCAAGTCCTTGGGCCCCTGCACCATGTGGGAGACCCGGAAGCTCTGGGCTCTTGGCTCTGCCTGGCCCAGCCTCAGCAATTGTGGCCATCTGGGGAGTGAACCAGCAGATGGAAAATCTCTGTCTCTGTAGCTCTGCCTTTCAAATAAATAAATAAATCTAAAACAAATGTCTTTTACATTATGACTCAATATAAACCTGTATTCATAAAGCAATATCTAACCCCTCTCTCTCTCTCTTACATACACACACACACACACACACACACACACGTATTTTCTCATAGAATTTCTAATCTATTATGTGAAATGGGTCTTCAAAATGTTCATTGAAAATATTATATTTTTGCACCGAAATAGACATCTTTTAACTACATTTTCTACAGACTTTTTGAATACTCTCAACATTAATCTCAACATCAAAACTGTTTCCAATAAACATGCATTTAACAGAATAACAGTTTTGAAAAACAGTTTATTAAGCAAATTATATCCCAACATATAGTCCATACAGACTTTTTGAGAATATTTAACTACTTTTAAAAGTGGCCTGCTTTTCTTTATATTTTTTCCTGTGTATCACTTCCCAGAGGATGCAAAAAAGGCAAAAAGCTTGTTCCTAGTTCTGTGCCTTTTCCATTTGTCTCAGGATATATGAAAAATGAAAAAAGTCATCCTTAAAAACTATTAAAGTGGCCAATATTTACCCAACCAAGCATCTTTTATGCTGAGCAGACTCTGAGGAAAAAAGAACGTAAAAAAGCATCCAGTGTTTCCAGAAGTCACCAGCACATTTAGTTCTGTTTCTTTTTGCCCATCAGGCATTATTTTCAGTCACATGATAATATGCTCAGTTTCATAAAGTCCTCAATTTCTATTCCTTCATTAAACTACTCAACTGCAGTCTTTCTGATGTTGGTTTAAATGTTAGAACTGTGTAACTGGTTGCTTGTGTATGTAAAGAAGAGAAAAAGAGACAAGGAAAAGGGGGATGAGAGAGGAGGAAAAAGAGTAAAACCTATGTGGTAGAAAAGATATGGACATGCATTTGAGTATAAATTTTAAGTGACATATTGTACATTTGTTAAACATATCAATAAAGATATGCACACAAGTGAAATATTTCGGTTCACAGTTTGTGCGTGATTAACTTGAGTGTGTACAGGGAAAAGGGAAGGACTAGATAGACAGCATCTTCAAATCTGTTTCCCTGCTACTAACTTCTCCCACTCCCAAATGACTCCTCGGATGTAGGCAAATACTAAAGGATACTAAACACAGCTTCCAGATAGCCAGGAGGTGTAAGAAACACCCCCTAAAGAGACAGCACAACCCAGCAGAGATGTGAAGGAGGAAAATACCTTCTTTCTAAGCAGCACCCAGGCGTTAACCCTTGCCTCTGCATGTCAGTTTTAAAACACTAATCTATTCACACTTATCCCATGCTTACAACCATCCAATTTCTGATTATTTAGAGAAAAGTCTAAATCTTTAACATGGCTTACAAGGATTTTCAAGAGTTAGACTCTACTTATTCTACACATAACTATTGCTGTACTGTAGTAACCACCTCTCCAACCCTGTGTCTCATGTCAAAAGCAAGACCTCTACCCTACACCTTATACAAAAATCAACTAAAAAGGATCAAAGACCTAAATCTATGACCTGATACTGTCAAATAACTATATGAAAACAGAACTACGTAAACATATAACAACATATTGTGGAAACTCTGCTAGATATTAACATACGCAAAGACTTCTTGCAAAAACAAACAAGCAAAAACAAAAAACCAGAAGCACACAGCCAGTAAAAGCCAAAGTGGACATGGGATTACATCAAGTTAAGAAGCTTCTTTCTGCACAGCAAAGGAAATACTCAACAAAATCAAGAGGTAATCAACAGAATAGGAGAAAATATTTGCAAACTATGCACCTGGATTGAAATTCAGGATTTATAAAGAGCTCAAAAAACTCAACAACAAAAGAAAGTAGTTAAGAAATGGGCACAGGACATAGACGGGCATTTTTCAAATGATGAAATACAAACGGCCAACAGAGACATGGAAACATGCTCAGGATCACTAGCCCCCAAGAAAGTGCAAATAAACACCACAATGAAGTGTCACCTCACCCCAGTTAGAATGGCTGTCCTCCAAAACTCAAAAAATAAATGCAGGTAAGGCTATGGAGAAAAAGGTACCCTAATACACTGTTTGTGAGAATGTAAACTAGTACAACCATTACAGAATACAGTATGGAGATCCCTCAGAAAGCTGAAACTAGATCTACCATATGACCCAGGAATCCCACTCCAGGGAATTTATGCAAAGGTAAATTAATCAGTACATGAAAGAATTATCCATACCTCCATGTATACTGCAGCTCAATTCACCATAGCTGAGATGTAGAATCAACCCAGATGCCCATCAACTGATGCCTGGATAAATGAACTGTGGTATATATATATATATCCAATGGACTACTACTACTGAGCCATAAAAAGGAATGAAATCCTGTCTTTTGCAACAAAATGGATGCAAATAAAGACCACTATGCCTAGTGAATCTCCAAAAGACAAATACCATGTTTTCTTATATATTCTAGCTAATACAGAATACAAAGTGTGAGAATGAAACTGACATCTTATCATCTGATTCTTGTTTCAGCCCTCGTCTACACGCATGTGGAACACCGTCTTTCCACTTTTCATTTGTTGTGCATTATGGTTAGTGGTGCATTAAGCCTACGATTATAAAGTAAACAGAAATTATGTTACTGCAAAAATTAAAGGAAAAAAAAGAAGGGAAGCAAAGAGGGGGAATGAGGGAGGGAGAGAGGAAGGGGGGAGTATGGTTATCTTCTTAGGATTGTATCTATGAAATACATGAAATCTGTTCTCTTTATATTAATTAAAAAACCTTCAAAGGAACAATGCTTTCTTGCTGTCTCCTTCTAGAATACAGTCACTTCTTGCTATTTCTTTCCTCATCTATCAGACTTGAGTTTAGTTTTTTTGTTTTTGGAAACACTCTTATCTCCTCTAAGTCAAGTTAGGAGTCTATATGCATATAAAACACTTAAAAAAAAAAACAGATTTACTTATTTGAAAGGCACTCAGAGACAGAGACACACACATAGAGAAAGAGAGAGAGAGCGAGCGAGCGAGCGAGAGCATGCGCACGCACTTCAATCTACTGGTTCAATCCTCAGATGCTTGTGTCTAAGCCAGGCCAAATTCAGGAGCCTGGAATTCTATCTGGATCTTCCATGT